GCTCCAGCCTGGTGTTGGATGCTGACGAGTACACCCCAGGAACACTGCTGCAGGTATTACACCAGTACTATTACCATAGTGGCTACAATATGGTTCATTACAACCACTGCTGACAGATCAGGAAAAGTGTGCTTATCACTCTCTGGAGCCTTAATATACTGACCTCTTCCTTCTAGGTGTTCTTCGGGGTTTTGATAGCAGCCATGAATTTGGGGCAGGCCTCCCCATGTCTGGAGGCATTTGCTGCAGGCCGTGGAGCTGCGACCATCATCTTCGAGACTATTGAAAGAGTGAGAATGCTTCGTGTTATCATTTTGCAAGATTTAAACCCTTACAAGGTACTATATATTTTGTACAGGAAACCGTTGCTTCGGGCTTACAAGTGTAATTTTTTTAAATGTGCTACCGCTAGGAGCCGAAGATTGATTGTCTATCTGAGGCTGGATACAAGCTCGACAGGGTCAAAGGAGATGTTGAGTTTCACAATGTGACCTTCCACTACCCCTCCAGACCTGAAGTCAAGGTACTTGTGTGCTTCTGCACTCGTCATGTCAAGCCGAGGGTGTAATTTGATTTCTGGAAACATACATTTTTGGCCATGTGATCTCTACTCAGATCCTGGACCAGCTCAGCGTTCCAGTGAAGTCGGGGCAGACCACAGCCTTCGTCGGCCCGAGCGGAGCCGGGAAGAGTACCGCCATTCAGCTCTTCCAGCGCTTCTATGACCCTAAAGAGGGCATGGTGGGTTTGACGGCCGCGACGGTGATTCTTTCCTCGGTGGTGCTTTTTGTCAACCCCCGGCATCGAAGATTCCCTCGACGCACTGAAGCTGCCGACTCATTCCTTTTGAGCTTTATTCTAGTGGATTCAAAAATAACCGTCCCCCGAGGGTGATAGAAATACATGATAATCTGTTTCATTATTCAGCCAATGGGTCCTAACAGCCTCATTTTTCACTTTTACTGCAATTAGAGGTCTTTGCACACCTTACTCTCTTATTGCTTTCAGCTTCTAGAGGAGGAAATAGCCTCTTACAGCACAATGAAGGTTATGCACAAGACTAACAACCGTACCAGTTGAAACTAGCATTGGTGCAAAAAAAAAAAAAAAAAAACGCATTATAGCAACCAGCTCTCTGTGCCCTCCAACTCAGGTGACCCTGGACGGCCATGACATCAGAGGGCTGAACATCCAATGGCTGCGCTCGCTGATCGGCATCGTAGAGCAGGAGCCCGTGCTGTTCGCCACCACCATTGCTGAGAATATCCGCTACGGTCGGCCCGGCGTCTCGATGGAAGACATCATCGGCGCCGCAAAGCAGGCCAACGCCTACGACTTCATCATGGACCTGCCGCAGGTGAAGCGTAGCGGTTTCAGGATTTCTAAGTGCTCGTGTGAAAATTCAGAGTTTTTAAACCACCAACAGGCTTAATAACTTTCCCTGTCATTTAAAAACAAACAAATCTGACAGAAATTCGACACCTTGGTGGGGGAGGGTGGAGGTCAGATGAGCGGCGGCCAGAAGCAGCGCATCGCCATCGCTCGAGCGCTGGTCAGGAACCCTCGTATCCTGCTGCTGGACATGGCAACCTCTGCACTGGACAACGAGAGCGAGGCGATAGTCCAAGAGGCTTTGGATAAAGTAAGTCTGAGGCATAAAAACTATACCTCTTTGAGTATGTACTAAAAATATTCAATACCCCAACTTGAATGATTACCCCACTGATTATGAAATAAGTCTCCACAGGGTGTAAAGCAGAGAAGACCGTTTTTCAAAATGCCCGGACGTGCATTTGGTTTCGCCACAGGTACGCTTGGGTCGCACCACCATCTCCATCGCCCACCGGCTGTCCACCATAAAGAACGCCGACGTCATCGTTGGCTTCGAGCACGGCCGCGCTGTGGAGCAGGGCAAACACGACGAGCTGCTGGAGAGGAAGGGCGTCTACTTCACGCTGGTCACGCTGCAGAGTCAGGGGGACAAGGCTCTGAACGAGAAGGCTCGGCAAAGTAGGTCCAACCTCCGGGCGGGGGGGGGATATTTATCCACATGTAGAAACTGTGAGGATGTGATTGTGATCGTCGCCCTTTGTTGGATCTCTTGCATTAGTGGCTGACAAGGAAGAAGAGCCAGAGAGGCTAAATCTATCCAGAGCAGGCAGCTACCGTGCCAGTTTGAGGTATTACCACCCCCCCCCCTCCTTCATCATTCATTTGTTTATTTGTGTAAACTGTCATATCCAATTCCATGGTCCTGACTGTGCATCTAAATGGGATTATTACAGTAGTCATTTTGTGTCATGGCAGGAACTGGCACCTTCATTTTACTTAATTGCCCTCTTACAATTACTTCGACATTTGGAGCCTTTAGCTGACACTATCATCCAGAGCCACTTACAAGTGCTGCAAACAGCAGAGGAGGCTTGAGGTCCTCCAACGCCACCGTTACAAGCACGCAGTAATGAGTGCACGGAGAACACCAGCAGCAGAATACATTCCTGTGTTCTATGAATATTCATGTTTTTTTCCTTTGACTTGGGAAGTTTTTTTTGTTTTTGCAGAGCCTCTATTCGCCAGCGGTCCCGATCTCAGCTGTCCAATCTGATCCCAGACTCTTCTGTATCCATCGTCGGAGAGCTCGGCCCCAGAGCCTACTCCTTGTCACGGGCAGACAAATCCACGGTATCCAATTTTATGTGTGGGTGGTTGAAGCAGGTCCACAATAATTACATACCGTTGGGAGTGCCAAACCACTTTGCGTTCGTTTTTTCTATATTAATCCTCGGATCGTATAATCGGGTAACGGCTTTGACTGCCGACTGATGTGTATTTATCTGTGTGAATGCTCAGAATGCCGTCCCGGAGGAGGAGGAGGAGGAACCGGTGGAGCCCGCTCCAGTTGCCAGGATCCTAAAGTACAACATACCTGAGTGGCCTTATATGCTTTTTGGATCCTTTGGTGCAGCGATAAATGGAGGGGTCAACCCCCTCTACTCTCTACTGTTCAGTCAAATCCTGGCGGTGAGGTTCCGGATGTCATCGGAAGTTCTGAAATACACAAAAATAAACGATAAGAGCGAAATTCCCAATTCCCAACGCTAACCATGTGCAAGCCTACAGTACAGTGTTTGTGTATGATGGTCTATATTAACATGTTCCTGTTCTCTCTCTCTGTGTGTAGACATTCTCAATAACAGATCCCGCGGTTCAGAGGAAGGAGATCGATAGTATCTGCCTGTTCTTCGTCATGATCGGCGTGGTCTCTTTCTTCACCCAGATGCTGCAGGTAGAGTAGCAGGCTGCTTCAGCGTCAGTGGTTCTCCGCCAGCCTCACAGGTTCAAGGTTGGAGGGAAAAGTCTTTGGATGAAAAAGATATTCCAATTTGCAGAGACACTGTTCTATGATTGATCCAAGAGTTCTGACACCCTTTGGGGCAGCGGGGCGGCAAAGACGCAATTTTCTCAGATTGGTTTTACATTATGTTGAAGATCACTGTGATAGTATTTTGGATTTAATAAGAAATACTTCCCGTGTGTGTGTGTGTGTCTCCAGGCTTACGCTTTCTCCAAGTCCGGAGAGCTGCTGACGCGCCGGTTGCGGCGGCTCGGCTTCCACGCCATGCTGGGCCAAGAGATCGGCTGGTTTGATGATCACAGGAACAGCCCCGGGGCTCTGACCACTCGTCTGGCAACTGATGCCTCACAAGTTCAAGGAGTGAGTTCAGGCCTCAGTTTTAGAAGAGAGGGATTTTGAAAAGTAATTCGGTCCCATATTCGGCGCAAGCAGTGAGTGGGATTTAGTGCCATCTAGTGGTGAGGTTGCATATTGCATCCAACTGCACTACGATGGCCTTCAGGTAAAAGCACAAAAAGGGTCCTATCTAGAGAGTGTTTGGTTTGTCTGTTCTGGGCTACTGTAGAAACATGTGCGTTGACCTCTGCTTGGATAATCTGGTTCAATCCATGAGGAGAACCTGAACGTTGCACAGTAACACGATCCATTCTTTTCCACTTGTCTTCCTCGAAGGCCACGGGCTCGCAGATCGGCATGATCGTCAACTCTCTGACCAACATCGGCGTGGCCGTCCTCATGTCATTCGTCTTCAGCTGGAAGCTCACGCTGCTCATCCTGTGCTTCCTGCCGTTCATCGCGCTGTCGGGCGCCTTCCAGGCCAGGATGCTAACGGGGTTCGCCAAGGAGGACAAGCAGGCGATGGAGACCGCCGGACGGGTCAGACATTGTTGTTTGTAACACACAGCTTCACCAAAATCTGGTTTCGCCCGTCGTTGGCGACGATCAGCATCCAGTTTTAACGTTCCACAGTATTCTGAGATCGGCGTCAAAAGCAACGTGTCAAATTCCTGATGAACGTTGTGGTGGAGGGCGACTTCAGCTGACGGCAGATCAGAGACAGCTTAAACACAGTGTCTATTTTAGGCTCCAGGTTTCAGTTTTTCTCATCACTGCATAAAAGCTCCGCAGCCCTCCAGCTGAACTCAGATCTTGGTACAGTAGCTTTTTATTAGCTGCTGCTGTAATTTGGCAAGCCAGGCACAGAGCTGTCCGGCTCAATACCTACTGGGGCCACCCAGGCCTAAGCTGTTGTCATGGTACAGACAACACGTAGTGGATCAAAAATCACTATGTTACAGTTTGCAATCAATTTACTGTCAACTTCCTTTAACGATCTCATCTATTCCAATGCAGTAAACCCCAGCCTTCCCAATAAAGTGGATTCGATGAAAGTTTAATGATCCCTATGGGGGAAATTGTCTTTCTGCAGCAGCATAAGATAAGATAGATAAAAACTATCTCTATCATAAGTCTTCACATGTTAAAAACCTGAGGAATTAATTACAACTTTTTTTTTTTTTTTTGCCTGGTCTTAACTGTGCCGTTTAATCTGGTACCAGAACTTCAACACGAGTCTTTTACTTGCAGATTTCCGGCGAGGCGCTGAACAACATCCGCACCATCGCAGGCCTGGGGAAAGAGAGGCTTTTTGTGGACATGTACGAGGCCCAGCTAGACGCCCCGTACCAAGCAGCCCTGAAGAAGGCGAAAGTGTACGGGGCCTGCTATGGGTTCGCCCAGTGCGTCATCTTTTTGACCAACTCCGCCTCCTACAGGTTCGGAGGCTACTTGGTGCGACAGGAGGGGCTCCACTTCAGCTTGGTGTTCAGGTGAGAGGAGAAGGCTGTCGGGTCTGGTGCCATTCTGTGTGCTTCCTCATCCTGACTGCTGTTTAATCCAAACTTAAAGGGGACATACGTATAATGCTTAATTCCAGGGTCATACTTGTATTTTGGCTTTGTACTCGGTCATGTTTACATGCTTTAATGTTTAAAAAACGCATTATTTTTCTCATAAATCACTGTTCCAGGGGAGGTGATTATTAATAATTAGGTACATTATGTTGGCTTCTCTGGCAGGGTCATCTCAGCCATCGTCACCAGCGGCACGGCCCTCGGCAGAGCCTCCTCTTACACGCCAGACTACGCCAAGGCCAAGATCTCAGCGGCACGTTTTTTCCAGCTGCTGGACCGCGTGCCTCAGATCAGTGTCTACAGCGATAAGGGAGATAAATGGGTACGAGGGCATATGTTATGCTACGTATTATCTGCTATTCCACCACATTGCACGCTGAGCATATGAAAAACAAATGAGTGCTGCATGCTCTCTCCACGATGAAAAGTCTAATTTATTATTCCTTTATTGCTTTGCTCATTAATTTTGCATTAGTCATGAAAGAGAGATGTGTAGATGGAGGAGACAAGGAAGGATTGTTAGTCCTTCTATCAAATATTGTACATGCAAAAGAAGAATACACTCCACAGAGCCCTTTAAAAGATGCATTTTGAATAATAAAAAACCTGCAAAAGACAATTGAGTGAAATGAAACTCTATTACCAGAGGAGGTGGACAGGAGGAACCCTAACACACGGAGGAACCTATAACCTTTGTTCTGTCTCCCCCCCCTCTCCCTCCCTCCGCTGTGTTTTCAGGAAAACTTCCAAGGGAACATCGAGTTCATTGACTGCAAGTTCACCTACCCCACCAGGCCAGACATCCAGGTCCTGAATGGGCTGAACGTGTCGGTGAAGCCCGGCCAGACGCTGGCCTTTGTGGGCAGCAGCGGCTGCGGGAAGAGCACCAGCGTGCAGCTGCTGGAGAGGTTCTATGATCCCGACCACGGCCGAGTGGTGAGGACGCGCTGCAGATGCACTTTGAATGCAAAGTGCCTTATGTTATGCTACTTAATAATCGCAATTGGAGGGAAAATATAGTTTTTACTTTTTATTGTTAATCTTAAAGGGGCTCTGATTTTACACAAGGTTTAGTTAAATTCAGTGCTGCCCTTTATCAACATGTCAGGTATCTTGTGATGAAATGAGTCGTATGTATAGTCTTCTTTCAGCTCCACTCTCACGAGGCTCAGTTGTAGTGAAATCAGACATTTATGCTGACTTTGTGCTTTATATTAAAAAAAGGAGGCCCTCCACCCAGGATGGAGGTTTGCCTTTGTGCCAGTAAGGGATCCCTGCCAAACATTCAAATGGCCTTAATTGAGTTGGAAGTGGTTTGGAAACGCCGAGTCCTGATTCCCTGTTTGAGATTTAAAAAGGACAGTGTCACCTCTGCATAGTTGGGAGAGAAATCACGGCAGAGATGGTGTCGTGATGGCTCATTAAGTGGATTGTATTTCCAGTCTTTGGTTATTACATTGCTTTCTCCTAATGGTAAAATCAATTGCTTCCTGCAGCTGATTGATGGCCACGTCTCGACCCGCGTCAACGTGCCCTTCCTGCGCTCCAAGATTGGCATCGTGTCCCAGGAACCCATCCTGTTTGACTGCAGCATCGAGGAGAACATCAAGTACGGCGACAACTCGCGGGAAATCGGCCTGAATGAGGTCATCTCTGCCGCCAAGAAGGCCCAGCTCCACGACTTTGTCATGTCGCTTCCTGAGGTACTGTGGACAGTTGGTGTGGACTGTCTGTGGCGAGGACTCAAACGCAGAGGCCCATCTACAACATTAACTAGAAAGGAATTACTATAGAATTCGTCTATGGCTCTTCGGCTCGATGGGTTTTTTCGGTGTTTACACGGCTAACAGGTTATTAAAAATGTCGGTTGCTGGTACTGCATTGAGATATGACTCACCATCATTTTTCCTCCTGCCTCCAGAAATACAACACCAACGTCGGTGCCCAGGGTTCTCAGTTGTCTCGCGGTCAGAAGCAGCGCATCGCCATCGCCAGGGCCATCATACGCGACCCCAAGATCCTGCTCCTGGACGAGGCCACCTCCGCCCTGGACACGGAGAGCGAGAAGGTACGCCTCATCAAACTCTGATCAGCGCCGTCACCGTGTGTGGAATCCACACGCTTCCCATCACAGTACAGCGCAGCTGCTTGATATTCGTTGGGCACAGAGAGCAAGGCGGGTCGGCAGTTAATTATTATTATCATTAACATCATTATCATTCATCATCTCTATTATTATCTCCAGCAGCGCACAGTTCGTACCAGCCTCTTTGTGTGTGTGTGTGTGTGTGTGTGTGTGTGTGTGTGTGT